GGCAATATTGGAAGTATCAATACTAGTTGGAATGTCCTGCCATATTTGCCCGATGATAATTTCTACCCTAGCAGCAAGTTTTGAAAGTTCTGCTGTATAGGTATTAGGACATGGTAAGGAAGCCCTGAAAAGGGGAGATGGGGCTCTCGAAGACAGAGAGATACTAGGAGTTTTGTCAGCTGGTCCTCCGGAGGGCTTTCAGAGAGCAGGAGGGAGAGAGGACAAATGACAAAAGGTTGTGGAGTGATCAGTCTCCGAGTTATCCATTGGTTCCATAGGGGCTATATGTTTGGAAAGTTAAGACATCTCTTTTTCTTACATGTGGACTTCTTCTTTTTCTTATAACCGAGCTATAAAGCTCATATTTTGAGAAATGTTCACTTTTGTAGAATATGTAGCAGGATCCTTGGTGTCCTAGCTGTTTTATGCGGTCAGAGGAGGTAGATAGGTAGAGAGCCTTGATAGCAAGGAGATCGAACAATATGCGATTAAGTGGAGATGATCTGTATAGACTCAGAATTGTCTAGGTTAATTGAGATTTATTTGTAGATAGAGATTTGTCTAGTAAGTTGTTAACAGTTACTTGCTTTATTTATAACTACAAAGAGTAAGATAAAGTAAAGTAGAATTGAAAAAACAATATTATATTGTTAAGGTCTCTTGTCCATTGCTTAATAATATCTAAAAGCTTAGGAGACATTTCAATATTTATTCTGCGTCTGAGTGTTCACAGACTACATCTATCTCTTATATAAATTATGTACCTCTTTTACTATAACTCGCAATATTGGGTATTCTCCTGAAGTGTAAATACAAGGAGGTTCTAAAAACCATCACACCGTCTTCAGTAATTACTATTTTGCCAATTGGAAGTGGTATTATTCTCAATAGTAATTAACAGATTTTCAGAGTTATTGGACTAAATGTAACATTTATAAGTCCCTGTTAATATAAAGCAATAGGCAACAATATCTTTTCTTAATATATATATATCTTCTTCTTTCAATAGTTCTTAGGCCTTGTAGCCTATATTACCAATACATGCTCGGATAATGCCTATCGTCCTGAGGTATAGGGATATTGCTCTTATACTTGTAAGAAATGTAAAGGATAAGGACCATAAGATATTTTATTCATATAATATAACAAGTAAGGAAATTACTTAGAACAAAGCATGAAGTACCTATCCTCCTCTCTGCCATACCGGCCTCCTTATATTGTGCTCTTCTTGCCAACCCTAACTCTCATGACATTTAACTATAAGTCCTATTAAATCCTTATAAACATATCATATGACTCGAATAAGTCATATCGGTAAAACCCATAACTCATTGTCAAATCATGTATGAAATATAATAAATCATAATATAAACAAATCATATGACTTGAGTGAGTCATATATGCGAGACGCATGATTCATAATTGAGTTACATGCGAAATTGTGTTATATTCATGACACTTATAGCTAAGTTTCCAAGTCAAACTATGTTGACCCCTATTGTCTTTCCTATTAATGAAATAATCAGTTTCATCCTTGGGTCATATCTGTGGGAGTAGTTGTAGGTGCAATTTACCAAGGTCATCGACTTTGAATCTCCATAATTCCTGATTCAACAGACAGATATCTACCAGAGAACTTCCTACTCACTCACAGGAAGCCACTCTACTGGATTGGAAGATATTTCTATAGTCAGCAATACTTATTTGTTCTAGGTAACCAATTTTTTATTGCTGTTTAGTATTGGGAATAATTTCTGCAACCATGACATATCCTTAGCCTAGTTGTAATACTCCATAAAGTCTATTAGCTTCTTTGTTAGTGTACCTCAGAGTTCCAGATTCTCCTAATTATCGTAGGATGGATGAGAATATGTTAGCTGTTCATAGAGATCATCTAACATTCAATGCCAGATCTTTGTGCAAAAATATCCTGTTACTTACTGCTTGTGCTAAAGTTATTCTATCTTTGAAGCCTAGTAACTCTCTCAGTAGTTGACGGTTTTACTGCATTCCACTTCCCAGACCTAGCCGAAAGTTTCTTTTCAGATATCATGTGAATAAAATCTAGTTGAATAGACAGCAGCTACATATATTATATTACTTTAACACTTTCCATTCTGTGGCATTATAGTCACAGGACACCTCTAAGATCAATATGTATAATGACATGTAGGCCCTTAAAGAAGCCAGAGAGAGGTGTTGGAGACCAGAAATTCTAATTCCAAGGGGGGTTATCCTACTTATGGTGCTTCTTAGGTATCGGATCATTGTACTCCTAACAGGGAGAGAGGAAAAGATGAAAGTATTTATTAACAGTCTGAAGCATTTGAAGAGAATGGAGTGTCGGGTGAATGGCTTAGTAAATGCAGTAGCGAGGCAGAGTAAGATAGTTGTTCAGTCTGGAGGTGGTTGGATTTGAGGACCAAGGTTAAATAATAGGAGATATCACTTACAAGTTCAGGCAATTTTGGAATTTATAAGGGGTAGGGTTCATTTTTAGGTGATATTTCTTACTTCTTTAATGGTTAGTTTTGGTATTTAGGTAGATGTCTTAGTATGGCCACAGAAAGTACATTAGTCTTGTTATTTGTATGATGTAGAAAATACACGCAAAAACCAAAAAGGTTTGAAATACTACACTTATTTGTAAAATATGCCTCAGATACCACAGGACCCTCAAATACTACAGTAAATTGATTATATAAGTTTCTTTGTAGGTAAGACAACCAGTTGGGAAGGGGTTTTTTTTTCTTCACACCTCCTAAGAACTTTTAATACTTCATCACCTCCAGAAAAACCGTTCATCAGTTCATTACCTGTAGAGGTATCTTCTACTGTAATGGGAGCTCCTTCTAGGAAGATGGATCCCGGAGTTCTAACTGCACCGAGATGAATTCTTCTGTGAATGGAACAAATATGATAAATGTCAAAGTCTTAACAGTAGAGTTTGAACAAACAAAACGGTAAAACATAATACTGTTAAGCTGCAGCTTTACTCAATTAAGTCCTGATCTTGAGAGGTGGTTGATTGCCAGAGTAGAGGAGAACTCAAATATACTGAAGTAGATTTCATATGCTGCCAGTTACTACCCATCACTACTCTGCATTCGTAAGCTCTCAACTCCCTTATATTGTCTAGCCGACCACTATGGGTCAGACCAAAGATCCCCAGTAGTGAACTAGACTACTCTAGTGTTTGCCCACATCCACTCGATGGAAGTGTTTTAGCTACTGCATTTACAATGCAACTGCAGGAGTAAAAACTCTTCTTATTACGAACATGTCAGTAGTGAACTGTCATATCTGAGTGGATGCAATACCAACTATGGAACTCTCTACCCATATACACTCAGTTTTCTACAAGCATCCCCAGGCCCTAAACATCTATCCGGTTCTACTCTATTCCATATCATTAGGGATGATGGCCATGTAGCTCCCCTGATAGGCCACTTCTGAGGTTAACTACCAATAGGCGCTACCTACAGTCAACACTGCTAGAAGTAGGTCTCATCATGATCTCAGACTCATATCTTAGAGTCCTTAACAATTTTCCAATACTATTACACTTTTGGGGCAACAGACTTCTGTTACCTCGCCTATTGGCCTCCAGTAACCTCACATATGACTTCCAGCATAAAATTCATATTACTCCATCAGTTCCGGTCCATTTTGCGTGAAACCACCTGGAGACCATTCTCCAGGTTCTCCTCTACACCCTCATATATCATGCGTCGAGCCTCTGATCAGACAGACAGAGTATATACACTGTTGCAGGAGTATCTCCACTTGTAGACTTCTACTAGGCTTATGGCAACTCTCCAGACTATAGCCCATGATACTAGAGACTTATAACTGGGCCAGAGGGTGGTGTTAGCCACTATACCTCCAAGGTGCAGCTTGTTTAGAGCTCAACTGATGTGCGGAAGTGATCCACACCATCTGAGAATCAAATATCACATGTAGTTTTGTGTGACAAACAATCTAGTAACTTCCCTCAAAGTCCTCCACAATAAGTTACTTTCAAGGTACGGTAACTTGGCTCTATGGCAGGGTAACTTTAGTCTAAAAGTAGGGTAACTCTACCTGGACTCACCATCGAGCAATTCAGAATAACCCCCAGATTGGCTACTTGGGTTACCCTACTCCTTACTAGTACCTATGTCCTTCTTAGTATAGTATAGCATGTCCAACTGAGGTACTTAATCAACAATACCTTTGCTCAGTAGACTCTAGTCTACTACTATTCCTACTACAGTAGTCTCTTGACACCGGTATGGGTATAGGTTTGACTAACTGTAATAGTACTCCATGGAGTCTTGTTGCATCTATCTATTTATCATCTCCTAAGTCAATTTGCATTATTTCAACATCTCTAAAGTCAAAATTTCTTTCTTTTTTTGGTTTGTCATATCCACAGACACCTTCCATTGACTTATCAGCTCCAGAGTCACCTTTTATTGGTTTATGATCCTCCGAGTCACCTTCTATTTCAAAGTCACCTTCCATCAGTTCATCATTTATTTTCCCTTGTTTTGCTTTCTCTTTATTATATATATTCTCTTCTTTTTCCTTTATATTTTTGCTTTTTTATACCACATTCTTTTATTTCCTTTTGTTTGTTGATTTTGTATAAAAAAATCTCTTACTATCATACGTATAAACAAACTTACATAATCAATTTACTGTGGCATTTAGGGCCCTATGGTATCTGAGGCATATTTCACAAACCGGTGTGGCATTTCTGACCTTTACCGAAAAAGAAAAGAAAAAAAAAAAAAAATTTACTCGTATGGGTGAACCTTTTCAATACCATGCATGCTCTTGGCGGAAAAGCCTTCTGGATATTACCATTGACCGAGAAATATACCCACAGAATCACGTTGGTCTGACCTCGCTTAAACATGATATGTTCTTAGTGATCTTTTGGGCCAAGAGTCCCCGGAAAATTTCTGGAGAGAATTTTTGAGAAATATTAGCCGGTCTTGAGTAGTTCTAGATTATTTGATTACAATATTTTTGCATTGTTTGAAGGGCAAAAAGAGTGGGGGAACTGAGTGATAGAGTAAATAATTTGTTGCTAGTTGTAAAGTGAAACCTTGTGATGGTATGTTTTTGCTAAGAATGGTATTCCAAAGGCACCCCCCTGTTTTCCATGGTATATGAAAGGCTTTCTCCTGAACCAGCAGATCAAGGTGATAAATTAAAAGTACTAGTACGGTACTCTACTACAATCTTTCAAGCCGGCGCAAACGAGCGGAAGGACAGTAGCAAAGTAGAAAAAGAAAAAGAGGGGAAAAAGGAATAAGACTGAGAGTGATGATATAAGAAAAAGAAAAAAGGGGGAGGAGAGCGTCTATAATTTTCAAACTGCCAGCAACTCAATGTTTATGCCTGAACTGCCCATGGTAGCAATCTAACTTATCAGTCTCGAAACCAGCCTCCTTCAACTCGCTCAATGGTCTTCCCATCCACTCGTATCCAGCCTTGTCCAGGCCAGGGGCATCCACTCTATTTACTCCCTTCAATTCCTTGGTGATGGCGTCCACATCCACTTGCAAGTAGTCTCTGAGGAACTCTCCTACTTCGGTGTTTTCATGGTTACCCTTAAGTTTTGACGTTCCCGTTGATCCATAGATGTTCACGTCGACACCTGAGTGACCGTGAGTTGTCCAGCCAACCTGTGCTCTGCGAGAAATGACGTCTGCAAGGACCCAGGCGGAGGCTACGTCATCTTTGTGATCTTTGATGGCTTCGATTTCGTCGTCGGACGCATCGTAGATGCCGAGACCTTTAATGAGGATTGTATCGCGTATGTAGTCTTCCTCTTGGTCAGCAGGGCCTTCATAGCGAGCGTACTGAGCGGCGAGATATTCCGATGATGAAGAGGCGTTAGCAAGAACTTCTGGGTACCAGAGGTATTCCGGATATTCCTCGTGAAGCTCTGTATTTCCATTAGCATAAGATTAACACCACTTTCGGAGGAGCTACTCACGTCTAGCAGCAGCCAATCCTCCAGTCTCGTGATCACTAGTACTAACAACAACACCAGGGTACCTTGAACCAGCAATCCAATCCGAAACCCTCTTGAAGGCTCGATCATAAGCCAAAACTTCGTGAACCTGGGCAGCGGGATCATTTCCATGGCCGGCATGATCTATTCTGCTCCCCTCAATCATCAAAAAAAATCCCTTATCACTATTCTTCGTGGCAATTTCCAAAGCCTTCAACGCGACCTCGGTCATCTCCTCGAGACTCGGGTAGTCCTCATCCTTGCGGTCTATATCATAAGGAATATCGGTGGGAGCAAAAAGACCCAAAAGTGGCAACTTGACGGCACCTTTCTTCAATCCATCGAAGGACTTGCGATCGTCAACATATGAAAACCCGAATCTCTTCTGGGCTTCAGAAACCAGGTCTCTGGAGTCATCTCTGCAAGAACCGTCGGCAGTATTGGGCAAGAAGTGGCATCTTCCACCACCGAGCATGAGATCCACCATTCGACCGAGGGGGTAATCGCCAATCTGTTGCTCCGCTATTCTGTCTTCCTCACCGCGAAGGTTGACATGGGCTGAAAAACAAGCTGGCGTAGCACTATGAAGCTTGAATTAGCTACCTCTTTAAAAGGGGTAAAAAAATGACGAAACATTCGCTAACAACTAAACGTACTCGGTGATTCTGGTGGTGACGACTAAACCCGTCATGTAACCAGCTTTCTTCGCAGCCTCTAAAACTGTTCCGCAAGGCGACCCATCTGGCAACACAGAGATGGCTCCATTGTAGCTCTTCATGCCACAAGAGAAGGCCGTAGCTCCAGCCGCAGAGTCAGTCACAAGACTAGAGCTGGATCTAGTCCTACTGGTTCCGATGAAGTGTTTATCTAGAGTGAGAGTATGGTTCCAAGGTAGACTATCAGAGAATTGACGATACGATCGCGTGAGAGCAAGAGACGTTGGGCCCATTCCTACACATCGTGAACTTCGTTAGACCCCCCACGACTCCTTTCGTCACTTTTCTCCTATTCAAAATCCGGACGCAAAGAAAAAGGTGCCGTTGAAGCCTACCGTCAGAAACCATAAAAACGATATTCCTCTTGCCCTCTGGCGGGAATTTTGAGTTCAGTCCGCTTCCGTTATTCACCCAGAGCACAGCGATGACCACGATCCCTAAACCCCCACACGAGGCAACAGTTAGCCTCCAAAAATGAGAGAAAGAAAACTTCTCATCTACACAAGTGATGACGGTGAACCGACCAGCCGTAGCAGCCATCGCCCAAACTCCCAACCCAAGCTTGACCCATCCGTCCCATTTCCCTCTCTCGGCCTGTTTGTTCGTCGGCCGACCGCTCAACAATGCTGCATCCTCCTCTGCACTCCTCTCCGTGCTCGACCTTCTCGACATTGTAATATGTTTAAGTTATGATGGTACTTCTAATGTTAGAGGTGGGAGTGAACGAGGGAAAGAGAGAATGTGTGTGCGGTTCGAGGGGCTGGAGGGGTTGTTGATTGGGGAAGCGAGGAAGAATTAGAGATGGGGGCTAAGTTAGTGTTCCGGGAACTTGCTAGGTTTCGAAATCGGAATGATCTACCGGTACGGTGTAGAAGGGGAAAATAGATGCCGAGAATCGTGAAAAGAATTTGTTGGTATTACAGTGTAGGTAGCTACAAGTACAGTACATTACCACCGGGTATAGTGCGGTACAAGTTTAGTGTGGATCTCGGGATCATTGATACAAGTACGAGGGAAAGTTATTATGGTTAGTTGGCTGGACCGACACGAGTCAAGCTGAGTTGACATCTTCAGTATGATGCCAGTGCGGTAGCCAGAGAGATTACCGGTACTATACCCTACAAAGTTCGCGGGCGATCCGAATCCAGGTATCATACAAGTACAAGTAGACTAATTGATCCCTTATCACTCTACCCTATTATGCTTTAGCTGTTGTCCTCCCTACTGTATTGGGTGAACTATCATACCAGTATGCATCACAAGAATTCATGGGGCAAGTAAATTTAGTATGGCATTGAGCAAAAAATCATTCACTCCTCAACTATGTATCATAACTCTCCTCATCTCACTAGTAATGATTTCATGCAAAATTCCGGATTCATCCTCGGCTCAATTCAAGATCAAAAACTCGATCCATGGGGGGAAAACAAAAATTAAATGGAAAAGACTTTTGATTTCATTCCCACCAAGGGTAAAAAATGTTTGTGAGCAAAAAACATGCAAGCCACTCCCAACCGCAGTTGCTTAGCCAAAGGGCCCATGGAAAGGAAGAAATGACTATAACTAGGAAATAGTGGAAGGAGGGGGGTGGGGGTAAAAAAACGAAGAAACGGGCGTGGGTAGAGTTCTGGTATGAAGATTAGAAGATGAAGAGAAAATAAATGTCAAGCCCTTATGAACACCGGTTCCCAAACCCCTCGAAAGAACCCAATCACTCCCTAACCCGTGATGGCTACCACTGTGGTGTTGAATTTGTAATGAAGTGTAAAAATTTCACACGTGCAATCTTCCATGGCGAAGAAAAGACGGTATGAAGAAAAGGCGCACAAAATAAGACGAGTGGTAATGAAAATGCTCCCAAATACAGACCATCGATAACCGTGTTTCCCAAGCGGGGTCGGCAGAAATGTGATTAAAAGAAAGAAAAAGACCACTATAGCCTTGATGCTATAGAAGGTATAAAAAATCGCAAGGGAAGATTGACATCGGGCGGAACTTATATCTCACTGACTACTAGCCAATGTACTCACTGACAGCCCTTATCCCCCAAAGCATTTCTCCCATAAATTGCGCTTGACACGCAAGTAATGAGAGCAAACACTTTTCTTCGCACTTCAACACGCCAATTCCTTGACCAACCCCAGCCCAATCCGCTAGACTGACCATGTCTGGCTGGGCGCATATCCTCTTAAGATACCGCCTGGCGCCTTTATCTAGCAGAACCTTAATCTCGCTGTATCTAAAGTCGTCCTTCTGGATACCCAACAACCTCAGACTATAAAACCAGGCCGCTTCCTTGAAAGACCGGGGCTCGAAACCGTATCTGGGCGGAGAAGAGGTAGATCGGCCCGATGAATTGAAGGATCTGTCGATACGATCGTGGCGTTCAGACAAATTGTGATCGTGACTAGAATCCAAATCGTCAAACTCGCCATCGCAGGGGGCTCTCGACGGTCTGTCGTCACCTCTACCGGAGGAGGGCTCGTCATTCAGTCTCTTTCTCGGTGGCAATGTTTCCACAGCAGCACTGAAAAGGGTATCCTCTTCTCCGTCTGCCTCCTGGGCTTCCTTGAAGTATCGGTCCAACAGTTCAACCACCCCATCAAGATAATCTGAGATAATGCTACTGGCGTTGCGTTCCCATTCAAACTCTTCCATAGGTAAAAATTCGTACTCGTACGAATTTGGATCAAAGTCTTTGTGCTCATGGTCCAAACTCTCTGGGTGTAGGAACCGAGCATAATCTTCCACGATGATGTTGGCGGGGACTTGGTCACCGAGCAAACTTGTGTCGAAGAGAGAACTTGTGGAGCTGGAGGGAGAAATGAGAAAATCCCTTGCTTGGGCTGGCAACGGTCTGCCATTGGAAAGACTGGAAAACGGGACATAGCTGTTTGGAGCGGATAGAGAAAACCCACCGAGGCATGTAGCTGGGGGTGGGGCATCATCACTAGCTGCGCATTCCTCGAATGATTTCCTGCGCTTCTGGCTCTTGGTGCGGCGGTGGTGCCTTTCCCTCTCTTTCACAGTTCCTAATGTTGCCTGTGTCTTAATAAGCGAGGCAGTAGGCACATCCACAGGCTTTGATGAGGAGAGCAATGGACTTGTCTGGCTGTTTGGATCTGATATAAATGGTATCCCTCCGTTGGGAGTCTTTCTCCATTTCTCAGGCAATTCCATGGGCTCTTGACCCTCCGCCACCTGTTGCTGGCGCTTCCGACAAACCCCGGACTTGCCAGACTCTTCATCCCGTTTTACAAATCCGGAATTCTCACTTGGTTCGGTGGGTATGGAGGTGGTAGCTAAACTTCCGAAAGGGGCCACGGGCGTATACTTTTCCATAGTTTTCACTGTCCCTCCCAATAAGTCTGCCTCCGGTAGTATTGCCCAAGCTAGAGCCATTGCTGATTTGGAGTGGTAGAAACTCATAATACATATTGCTTGCACAACTTCCGCCATGGTCCACCTTTGCTCCGGGTCCATATTGCCACCCTCTTCTCCACGAACCAGCTCCTTGATGTCATCTGGAGTAATGGTCCAGGGTCTGTGCGCTAGAAGCATATTTAACTTGGAAATCCTCTGTAATTTAGGAGGCGTGTAATGAAGACCCTTCAACCACTGTCTATCGCCTCGCACTGTGAGAAATTTCTCCGAAAGTAGCGAAAGGTAGTATTGACACTTTTTCTCTGCCGATGAGATGATTCCAAGGTATATCCTCCACTTCTGTGGCAACGGGCCATTCCCTGAATCATCGGATAGGAACAGATCTGTGGTCTCTCTATTGATTTCGGCAAACCGGGGAAAGAAAAAGAGTATCTTGTTGAGATTACCAACCCTGCCAGTACGCATATACGCGTTAACCTGAAGAGCCCTAACTTCATCACTGGGTGGCTTGGGCTTAGGTAGGTATTTGGGCATTGGTCGACGTGCTTGGCGTCTCTTGACTTTGTGGGACGTACCAACACCATTTGGCGGGGACGGCGGAGTCTGGAAGAGTGAGGAGACAATCGAGACGGTAGTTCGACGAGTACCTCTATTGAGAGAACCGATCGGAGTTCTACCACGTGATGTTGAACGGGGACGCTCTCTGTTTGCCGAGCCCTTATTTGGATCAGGAATCATTATTCCAGAAGCAGGGCTCATGTTTCCGTTGGATTCTCTGGGAGAGAACGAGATGCAATCCTCTTCATCTTCGGACGGAATGTCAAAAGATGTTGGAGATTTGGGGTTTGAGGTTGCTGGGGTCCATGGACCAAAATTCAGTCCAATGGTTTCATTCAACGGAATGAAGAAGGAGGGACCTCGGACAGGGACTTCTGGTAAGCGTGCACCGGCTTTCTATTGCAAAAAATAGCATCAGATTTAAACCGATCGTGGATTAGGCTATTGGTAGGGAGGGAAGTAGCAAATGATGAGTAGCAAGGATGGAATGCTAAGGGTGTACCTCTGCTCTTTGTAGGATCGCCCTGCATTCTTTCCTAACATCCTTGAAGGGACAATCAATTGAAAACCTCAATAGCCATGAATAAAAATTTTCTAGATTTGTTTTCATCTCCTCAACACCCCATGTTTCATCGGCCACCTGGTGTCCAGTCCACGCGAGGTCCCTATTAGCAAAATCAAGCTCGGCCAACCATTTATTGCCAAATCTGACCGCCCCATCAGCAAAGCCCCCGGAGGCGTCTGTTGGAGATACGGCGAAATCCCCAGATAAGGTTGTCCAGCCATCGTCCCTCTCGGGTGTTAAAGGCAAGAACGAATTGTATATCGAGTCTTTTCTCCCTAGGTGGTCCAATGTCGATGAATCATCGCCGTCTACCCCAAATACGTCCTCAAAGTGCATTTTAAAACTGGAATCCCGTCTTAACATATTCCTGGAAGAAGGCGGCGCTGGTGATGCTCCAGAGCCATTGCTTTGCTGTCTCACCAGTGGTGGTCTTGCTAATCTCGGCGACATTGAGGAACCGGATGATGTCCTAAGGTAATCTTGCCATGCTAGGGTCCAATGGTCCACTACCAAGCCGAGAATTCTTAGGGCATTGGTCCTTAGAATGGGTTCATCATCAAAGAAGCAATTGAAAAGCCCGTGGCGGAATAAATTGGCCATTTCTGGAGCCACATGTCAGCTCTAAGGTTTCTCCATCAGTTCGTTAAAGAGTGTTACCGAGTCTCGGGGAGTTCTTATCTTCCACCATATCCAACCACCCTTCCCTAGATTATTAACCTGGAATACAGTTTCACTTCGGTTGGTTTTCTGCCACAGTATGGTACAGCTCTAGGAAACTAGGATATCGCTAGATTGACAATTCTAGCGGAGGCCGCTAAACAATGTATTGAGGAAAGAAGAAAAAAAAGTTCAAATTGTATCACCACCGAGAAACTCTCATACGCTGGAACAAATGGCTAGGGGGCGGGAAGAAATAAAATCAAGCCTGGTTCAGCAAGATCTAGAAATACAGATGAAGCGAAAAGGTGGAGTGGCAAGGCGACAACTTTGTTATGTTTAAACAAGTAGGACAGCTTCGGGAGAATAAAGGAGCGAAGGATGGGAAACAAAAGGCAGGTGCTGGGAGAAAAGGTGGTTCAAACTTGAAGAGAACGTGTTGAGACCTTGCGCTCGTATGTGATTGTGATAGGGCACACGGATAACTGGGGTGCACGATAGCGACAGGTCAAGAGATGGACGCACCAAACCGGGAAATTTTGTCTGCGAAGTGTGTGGATCGAATAGAAATGGGCTGGATAGTTTCCGGTAGTAATTCCTAGGGGTTGGCAAGGCAGCTGTGTAATGACGACGGAGGGGGGCAGAGGGGAAAAAGAAAAGAGAAGAAAAAAGAGATATACCGTTAGGACCCTAGAGCGAGGCAAAGAAGAAAAAAAAGGCTAACACCAGTTTGCCTGATCGTGTGAATAAGGGACTAGGGTTGTATCGACAGGAGCTGGGCTCGAGACCAGGCGGTGGCTGCTGTCAGGTTTCCGGAGCAAACTGCCAGCTTATTCAGATCAAGATTTGTGCAAATGCACTGTGGTAACGGGAACACGAACTCGTTTGGCTGGAGGAGAGGGAAAAATAAAAAGGTGGATGGGGTCGTCGATAACGAGAAGGTTAATTTATCTGGCTTAAGTTATGGGAGAGAAGAGAAGGGAATAGAAAGTGAGGGAGTCGAGGGGGGAAGAAGGAAAGAAGGGAGATTGACAGGCCACAGTCGGCGGGCAAGCGGGCAGGCCAGGCAGGTAGGCGTGAGTTGTGGTAGTGGTTGTGATTGCTTGGAAGTATAAAATGGCCAGTAACGAAATGAGGTTGAGATCGTACCATTACGGTAGGGGTATTGCTATCACCAAATTTCCAGCGGCAGACATACAACCTGACAACCAGGCGACAAGTAAGAGACGATGATTGTTTTGTTTTGTTTTGGTTGTTGCTCCAGTAGGTGGGACAGGGCATATAATTTAGGTGAACAAATCCTATGATGCGGTGCGTGTAGTGAAGGTAAGGGCCTTCTTAAATGGAGGCAAGCGGAAGAGCAAATCTGGCAATGCTAAGTTATTAGAGATGGAGAGATGGAATGGCAGGTGACTTTTCCTGGGGTAGCAGTCTCTGGGCGGCGGTTTCCGTCCCGTCTTTTGGAGAATGTAGAGAGAGAGCGATACAATACAGGTACGGTATGGTATCGGTATTTGTCGTGCTGTGCCTAGCAAAACGACAGGGGAACGGTCAACTGAGACGATAAGATCAGTAGGAGGAGAAAGAGAAGGTGAAACAGAGCGAAGAATTTGGAGTCTGATATAAGAGCTTAACTTTTCTCTTTCGCTCTTGCTCTCTCACCCACTCACAAATATCAGAGCCTCCGATCAGTATTTTATTCTTATTGCCGACCTCGACTCAGCAGGTGCGATGGTGGGGGTGAGATCATGGGTAGTGGAAACAATAGGGTATTGTATCGTATATATGACGGGGAATAGTGTGCGATATGATATGTGCCCTCTGCGTGTACTGTACCGGTATGCTGGCTTCAATATGTGCGAGGCGGTTGATAGATAGTGTTTGATCCCAGATAAGTGGAGAACGAACGCTATTTTGGATCCTTTTTTGGCGAGCTATGGCGTCAGATCAGGGGACGGTAAGATATTACATGCGCAGGATTGGAAGCTGGTTGGAGGTGGTGATGGGAGAGACAGTAGAAAAAACATAGGAACAAACAAAAAAGAGGGCAAGCAATTCTGAAAGGTAGTATATGTAATTGGAGTGATGGTACCAAAGGGATGCCAGTAGGGTACGGGAATCTCCCGGCTACCAATCTCCTGTCGAAGCTAGAAAGCCACTGAATCTGGTCAGTCAGGCTTTTGTCGCTCTCTGCTTCTCATGAGCACCACTTAATTCGGTCAATCTGCTACTAGACTATTTACAGTACAATACGGTACTTGTAGCACGGGAAACAGCAAGGCGATGAGAAAAAAAACAATTCGTTGGAGTGAACACTCCAAGCGCCCCACCCACGTTTTCATCACACCAACACCCTGCTTTCAGGCCCTTTGTTACAGAGTATTTTCCGGTACTCGAGTACTAGTAGGTTAACTCTCGGTGGAAACATACAAGTACTAGTACCAGTATTACATTAACAGTCACCTGACACATATTCGTTATCTTTCATTCATCATAATCATCTCCCAGGGAGTTTGTAAAAGTTCAACTTTTCGGGGTGATACTGGTGATAACTCATGAATAAAACCTCCAGGGGCTCTTTTCCTATCGTCGCAAAATAGTGCCGTACCGTAATGTATGTCTTTCATGAACACAAAATAAATTCCTTCTTCGAGCGCCTAGGGGGGGGGCTTCCTGCAGGTTGTGGCTTCCATGGGGTGCACGTGGAATCATGTGCTGGGGGGTTAAGTGTAAGTGAGGCGAAGGGGGGGTACGATTGGGTTACTATGTTAGCCACCTGGAATTAGTTAGTGTGATGCGCAAAAACCACAGGGGGGTAAACCTTTTAAATACCATGCATTTTGTGACAAACCTTTCGGATACCATCCCCCGGGAAATATACCATCGAAAAAGTGAAACCTTTTTAAAGAATTCCTCCACATTTTCATTACTCATAAAATGGTGAGAAAAAATTCAAAAGATAAAATTCAAAAAGGAAAGATAAATGTAATAAACAGTTAGATTTGTAATTTTTTCTGCAGTCAGAAAGGATTTCTGTGTGCTGGTCTGCACTTGCCTAAAAGTGGTGTGTTTTATGTAGTATTTTAAACAAATTACTCAAACCTTCTCCCTAGGTCTCAGTACATCCTCAAAAATTATGGAAAAAATCAGGAATATACACAGAGGCTTTGAGTTATTTTAGGAATTTTTTTGGAATTTATTAAATCTATTTAGATTGTTGGTAGAATAAAAAGGTTCTGAGTATTTATTTTTTTAATTGTTGCTATGTGAAACATTTTGGATGGTATATTTCCCGGGGGGTATGGTGTCCGAAAGGTACGTACAAGAATGCATGGTATTTAAAAGGTTTTCTCAACCACGGTGCCTTTTAAGTATGATGAATTTTGCCACCAAAATATATTACCACATCTATCATGATGAGGATACTATCAAGGAATTCACCATTATTAATAGAGCACTTCCTATAAACATTTTTGTTTGTCAAAAAACAAAAAAAAAAACAGCTACAACACTTAGACTAATGTTACTGGAAGGATTATGCTCTTATTCCATGGACTGATGAGACATGCAAATTCCGGACCTTCCATCATGGGAAATAGCAGCCAGAGATCCCAGCAAGAAAAGCAGTAATAATCATAAACATGATATCTGTCACAAACGTGGCTTGGCACGGAAAATGTTTTCACATGACTCATGATTATGAGTCATAGGTATGTTATTATTTCACACATATGACCCATTTAGGTCATATGATATATGTTATGATTTATTATGTTTCGCACATGACTCAAATATGAGTCATGGGATGTGCGCCTGGTGAGTATGCCTTGCAAGTGTGCCTTGCGGGTATGCCTTGTACATATGATTTAGGTTTAACGGATGACCTTGTTATGAGGTTATGGGTTTCGCACATATGACTCATTCAAGTCATATGACTTGTTTATTGTGTTATGATTGGTTTATGATATAAGTTTTTGCATAGGACCTTGCTCTGAGGTCAAGGGTTTTGAGTGTGTGACCACTTTGGTCACATGATTAGTTTGTTATGATTTAGTTTCGCACATGTGACCACTTTGGGTCACATGATTAGGGGTGGGAAGAACACTATATAAGGAGGCTGATGCTGCTGAGGAGAATAGGTTCTTTACGCTTTGTTCTAAGTACTTTTCCTCGTCCTTGCTGTCGCTTTGTCCCAAGCATTTCTCTTGCACTCCTGGTGGGCCTTGATGTCTTGGATTCAGGGGGAGATATCTGAGTTTGCTCAGTAGTTCTTGGGGTTCTTGGTGTTGACGTCTGTTGGTGTTGTGTGGTGGATTACTTGTTTGCTTCTTGTTTCTTTGCTTGCTGGTTATCTCAAGATACTAGCACTTTGAGCTATTTATCATGGTCGCTTGTGAGCCCCTTTCGGGAAAATATCTTTGGCTTCCTGTCTATCGTCTGCTTGCAGGTTTTGCGTTTGATTGAGGTGGATAGAACATAGTGTTTGGGGGGATTACACATGTCGTTCTTTGGGCCAGCTCATGTTGTTGAGTTTTAACGGAGTTCTTAGTTCTCGCGATACAAAACCCCCTTGGGTTAGACTGATGACCTTTGCAAGTTCAACTCATCCTATCGGCTGCATCATTCCTCAGTTGGTGGGGCAGTACCTGCCCAGCCCCTCCCCGTTATGCTTTACGTTTCTATGGTCTGGAGCTTACGATATTGTTTATCACCTCTCCCTTGGATTTTTGTCCTTGCGGTATTTACTGTGGTTCAGTCAGGTGACTCCTCCTCGCTTTGGTGGGGATGGCTTTGATCCTGAAAAACTCTTACTCCCTGGTGTAGCTATTATTGCTACCTGGGGAGGTGTGGGACGATTGGCCGCTAGGCACTTGCGTTGTCTGTACATTTGGGTGGTTCAGTTGGAGATTGTGGTTGGCAGCTTCACCCATTGCAAGTGGGAC